CTCCTTCATTCCCTCCTTCACTCCTTCACTCCTTCACTCCTTCACTCCTTCACTCACTCCTTCATTCCTTCCTTCACTCCTTCACTCCTTCACTCCTTCACTCCTTCCTTTCCTCTCAGGTTCTTCCTCACCTCCTAACCTTATTTATTGTTTGTTTTTGTTTAGATTTTTGTTGCCTCGTGTTTCTGCACTATTTTCTTTTTTGCTTGGATTAAGCCCCGYCTCCTGTGTCCAATTGGTCCATTTTACAGTCAGCAATTTCTGCCAACCTTGAAGCCCCACCTCCTCTTTCTAATTGGTCCATTTTCCCATCAGTCGCTCCTGTAGACCTGTGAACCCGCCTCCTTCACTCTCTCCTTGCCTGTGATTGGTGGAAAGTCAGAACGATGTCACACAGGCCATCTCGTCAGCCAGCTCCGCCTCCTCCTCATGGCTTGTTCTGATTGGCTCCTCGTCGCTGTAGAGCGCTGCAGGATCATCGGTGTTTGTGCTCAGGAAGTCGTGGCTCCCGGAGCTCAGGAGGTCGCTCGCCGCCGACTCCATCTCATCCACGGTCATGTGACACGCGTCAGCGATCTCTCGCTTGGCAAACGCCACAAACTTTGGATCTCGAGCGTAAAGTCCGAGTCCCTCAGAGATCAGAACCTGCAGAGACCAGAACAGAACCGGGTCTGTCATCTCCATGGAAAGGCTTTGTTTTCTGGTGGATGTGTGGACTCACCGCCTCCACCAGGCTGTCAGCTGATCCTCGTTTGTCTGTGAACGGAGTGCCGAGCTGCGAGGGCACTCTGAGGGTGGTGTAAGCCCGGTATGGGGGCGGAGCTACATCACAGTCACATGAACCAATCAGACGTGCCCAGACAGAACAGGGTTATTTCTGTAAGTGTGAAACCATGTCCTCACCTGGTGTCCCTGCAGGACCACTAAACCAGGCTGGTCTGTCCGCTGCACCTGTCACATCACAGGAAGCAGTACTTTCACATTAAAAGCCTCAGCTGGTGTATATTTTCCTTTTAAAACTCTGTCTCCTAACCTCTTCCTGCTGGTCCTCTCTTCCCCTCTGGCCCTCCAGCTCCTGCCCCCCAGGGGGGGCTGCCCTCCTCCTCCACCAGGATGAGCGGCGCGTAGAGAAGACGCCCACGCCGCGGACACGGCTTGGCCCAGGACGTGGAGGCCGCCCCCGAGGAGTGGTGGGAGTCATACGCCTGCTGAGTGTGGAGGAGAGAGGCAACAGATGTATGGGTGGGAGGGGTCATCATGTTACCTGACCTACAGGTGAGTAGGTCAGGTGACGGTGTTACCTGAGCACGGCGTGGCGGTGATGTTGGGTGGTACGTCCCAGGAAGAGGCAGGTCATCATTGCTGACCTGACGCCTCAGACACTGGATGTTGAAGGACGGCTTCCGACCTGAGACAGGTGCAGAAAACACCTGAGCTTCAAGTTCTTTACCATGACTCATGAAGTTATTTACCCCAACTGACCATTTCAATGAAACAACAACAACAACAACAATAATAATAACTAAAATAATATTAATAATGCCCATTCCTTCACACACAGAGGATTTTCCTGTAGWGTTGGGTTTAAATGAAGCACATGTGGATTAAAACAGATGTGGACCCTGAGCCCTGTGGAACACTACAAGTGATGACATCATATGCCACTGGGTCACCTGTGGGTGTGGCAGGAAGTAGGCGTCGACGGGTAGTCCTCCTCCCTTCACTGTACCCATTACCATAGCTACTGTTGGTGAAAGGGGCGTGGCCTTCATAGTGGTCTTTGTACTCGTCAGTGAAATGCCTGCACAAAACATAAAACACAAATAATCTAACTGATGAATTTAAAATTTATTTGAGCAGTTTTATTCAAATAACCCTAAAGTAATAAAACAAACTTATGCGTCCTAAAAGAATCATGAGAGTTTTTATTTTATTGGCAGAGGGGCTAAAATAACCATAACTATAAGGATAGGATTCATTTCTTTTCATATGCAGGTTAACAAGAGTCGACAATGTCATGAAATTCTTAGGATGAGAAGAAACCCTTTGACTTGCCATAAAGAATACAAATAAAAATAAAGACAATACAGAATATAAAATTCAGTTTGCAGTAGATGCACAAAGAGTAAATAAACAAAAATTTAGGGTAATTTATACAAAGTCAAAATGCTAAATAGCAAAGAAAACAGCAACAAATAACACAACATGCAGGGTGCACAACATTTATGGTACTTCACCCATGATAGTAGTGCTTCTAGAGAATGTGTAATGACCTTCATGAGGCAAACAAAGACCATAATGACCCTCAGGAGGCCAGTAAAGACCCTCATTATACCTGTCTCTGGATGTGACACTTTCGTTGTCCTCCTCTCTGCTGTAGTAACCTGGCTCTCCATACGTCCCCGGGTCTCCGTTCCTCCAGGATCTGTCCCTTGAGTCCCTCCTGCAGACCAACAACACACTCARTCCAACCAACCAGCAGAAGAACTCTCAGGTTTGGGTTTGTTGGGGTTTGAGCTGGTGCTTTCTGATGTTGCAGGAGGTTGAGGCAGAGAACAACGTGGGCAGTTTTTGGGCGTACCTTCCATTTCTGTGTGAGCGTCTCCTGTGGACAGGCTCTATCAGACCGTTCTTCAAGGAGGAGCGGCGGTGGTGATGACTGACGGATGACCTCAAACTGTCTCCACGACGAAGATGGTCGTCGTGTTCGTTTCCGTTGGCTGTTCTGGTGAGTGATCCGACTCTGTGGATAAGACCCCCATTAGAGATGCCCCCGTCACCTGCAAAGAAGAAGACCACACAGACTCAGAGACACAGGTTACCCTGACCCTAACAGGTGAGTTTATGTGGTTATGTTACCTGCTCGCTTTTGGATTGTTAAAAACTGAACTGAAAAAAACCCTGTCCCAATCCCTAAACTGTGACCTGTTAGTAAACTCTGAAGGACCAACCATCCAGGTTTAACCCCCGGTGGAAGAACCCAACCTGTTCCCAGACTCTGAGCCAATCTGATCCCAGCTGGGCTGAAGTTGGACTCTGTGGATAGGTTAGACTTGTTTTTAGACCTACAGGACAGGTAGACTTGCCATAATCAGGTTTTTGTGATTTTGGTTGAAGAACCTGAGAAGATCTAAAGACCTGGACTCAGGAACCAGGTCAGGTCTGAGTGAAACTGGTTTTACGGTATCTTTAAACTAGGAGCTGTTCTGTTTCTGGATGTTCTCTGTAGGAGAAAACCAAAGACTGTACCAGTAGGGGTCAGCATAGAACCTCGTCTAGTCTCTGTTGAGAATCCATTTTCAGCCTGAAACAGACAGAACCAGAACTTTAAACAGAACCACGTCTTTATTAAACCTTCATCAGGTGGAGGCTGGATCAGCACCTTATAAGCTGCATTCTCCTCTTCTTCATCCTCCATCAGGGCCTCCTCCTCTTCCTCCTCTTCCTCCAGGTCTTCGTTCAGAGCCAGACGCATCTCTGGACCCAGGTCCTGCAGAGTCTTCAGACCAGCTTTACAGAGCTGTGGGAGGACAAACAGAAGCTCACTGAGTTTTCTAAAGGAAGTCTTTGAAAACATCTTCAGCCTCAGATCAAACATCTCCTCTTTGTCTCGTTTCTCTGACAGGATCCTTAGGATTCAAGAAAACCAGGAAAGATCCACCAAACCTGGAGCAGATCAGCTGGATCAAACCCTAACCCCAAACGTTCTGCAAGGAAAAGGGAAACCTTCAGGAGAAAACATGTTTGGGTTTAGTGTGACTGGCTCCTCAAAGAGGAACATCTCCAACATTATGATCATCGTCAGGTTTCAGCCAGCATCTGGACGAAGAAGAAGAACTCTGTTCAATTAAGGAACAGGAAGTAGAATGTGGAGGACAGGAAGTTGTTGCAGCAACATTATAAGTGATGGTAGAAAATAAAATATAAAAWCCCTGAAAGAGTTTTTTCCAGACAGATGAAGAACAAGTAGAACTCATTTGGCCTCATGTCAGAACCGTTGGTACACAGATTTGTTCTTAAATTGTGCGTACGRGTGATTTAGGAGAATTTGTGACATTCACCAATGTTTTCATATTCTAAGATTTTTTTCAGATACGAACAAAATTCAGGAGTGGTCCAGACCTGTCGTATATTTTACCAGCAGTCAGTCTGCTGTTATCCAGACGGGTTTTCTTCACTAACTAGAGAAGTTGCATTTCCTACGAAAATGCAAGTGTGAATG